CTTTCTTTCTTTCTTTCTTTCTTTCTTTCTTTCTTTCTTTCTTTCTTGTAGAAAGTCTTCTCAGACACCTAGATTTAGGATTTATTGTTTGGTTTAAATATCATGTTTTGTTAGTTCTTTAAGCATTTTATATGTGCAAACAATGTACTTTGATTGTGTTCTCTCCCTCCACAGTTTTCCTACTAACTCCTGCCACTTCATCACTTCGAACCTGTGATCTCTTGTTTTTTTAATTGTTTTATGACCCACCAAGTCCAATTTATGCTATCTGCAGTTATGGGTGTGGACCAGCCACTGGAGTATGGTTGACCTACCAGGGGCCTACAGAAATGACTCTGTCTTCCCCAGAAGACACCAGCTGTCCACAGCTCCTCAGCTACAATGGGAGGCTCGTGTGACCCACCCTCTTCCAGGCTAGAATGTTGACTGCCTTGGTCTTGGGCAGGCCTTGTGACAGTCGTGATAACTGTTGTGAGTTCATGAATGTAGCAGTCCTTTTGTGTTAGAAGCCAATGTTATCCCCTCAGTCTTCCCTGACCTCTGACTGTACAACTTCTCTACTTCCTGTCCCTCTTCTATAATAGTTCCTGAGTCTCAGGGGAGGGATGTGAGACAGAGATTGCATTGAGATGGAGAATTCCACTAACACACCACTATCCAGTGGGAGGGGCATGCTCTGGTGAGGTCCCAGAGATGCACTGATCTATAGGTAGAGAGATAAAAAAAAAATCTTTTTTTAGAGGGCAATCAACAGTGTGTTTGTTTAGGTCCATCTGTGGGACCTGTGAAGTCCCTGGGCATAGACTGTTGGCCAGAAATATAGAACTGCATGTTTTCCCCTCCCCCAACTCCATTAATTCAGCCAGAAAGCAGTTGGTTACCCGCCTCTCCGGGACTTAGGAGCGTATCTTGCCACGCTGGTCATCGTTGTAGTTCAAAGAGCCCGTAGCTGGGTGAGACTATCCATAACTTCCCTCCAACGGCCTCCAGAGCACCTTCCATACTAGAAGAGCCAGCCAGCAGGGAGGCAGCGTTCTGTCAGGGCCACCTTGGTTTGTCTCTGTGGTGAAGGGAGGGCTCCCACACCTGGCTTGAATTTGGTTTTTAAATATCATTTCTCACTGGAAAACAAAAAAACAGTACTCCTCCAGTGAAGTGACTGATTCTAGAACTGTGATGGGGAAGATTAAAAAATGGCAGTATTTTTATATTCCTCAAGTGATAGGGATCAGCTCCATGTACACGGAAGTCTGCTGAAAGGCATTTTTTTTCTTTTTTTAATTAATTTATTTTTACAATTTATTCATTGTATATTCCTATTGATGCCCCCTCCCTCAACTCCTCCCAGTCCCATCCTCCCTCCCTCTTCCCCTCTATCCCATTTCCCTTAGTTCACTGAAAGGGGGAGTTCTCTGCTATCTGCCCATAGCTTATCAAGTCTCATCAGGACTGCCTGGATCCTCTTTCTCTGTGGCCTGGCAAGGCCACATCGCCAGGGGTAAGTGATCAAAGAGCAGGCAACTGAGTTCATGACAGAGGCAGCCCCTGCTCCCCTTACTTGGGAACCCACACAGAGATGGAGCTGCTTATGGGCTTCATTTGAGCAGGGGGTCTAGGTCTTCTCTATCCTAGGTTGGTGCATCAGTCTCTGCAGGACCCCCTGGGCTCAGATTTTTTTAGCTTTGTTGGTCTCCTTATGGAGATCCTTTCCCCTCTGTGTTCTTCTATCCACCCCCCTCTTCCATAAGACTCCCTGCGCTGCCCACAGTTTGGCGGCAACTCTCAGCATCTGCTTC